ACACTGCAATGGGTCTAGAGTCTGAACGCATACACAGTCTCTTTAAATGCAAAGCTAAACCATTTTTTACTCCTCTATTTTACTCTAACGTTTGCTCCGCCGCGTCTCCTTCGCCCCGCAGGCATACCGTCGGAATACGGCAAGCAGCTGACGATACAGCGTGTCGTCGGGCAGGACCAGATCTTATACCAGACTGAGCGCTACCACGACGCCAACTTCCAGTACAACGTCGCCGTGACGACCGACGGGGAGTACGTCGTCGTGCTGAAGTTCAGCGAGGTCTACTTCACGGCGCCGAGCATGAAGGTACGTACGCGCACGTGGCCTCTAGGTTGGCGCTTCACTCACTCGTGACGGTGTTCCTGTACTTATATATGTATATATTCGTACATATATTCAGTATTCGTCTCGTAGATGAATTCGCTTTCCGAACATGAAGGTACACGCACGCGGCCACTAGGCGGCGCCATGGGCTCGCTCCACTCGCTCGCAACGATGTTCCTGTATTTGTATAATGTATATATACACAGCCGACCGAACCTCTTAGGCAGCAAAACTGCTGCTTGCCACCCCAACTAATGTCGTACCCTGAACAACTGTTGTTGATTCGAAGCTGATTTGGGTTCTGCCACTCCTCCTTGCAGGTGTTTGACGTGCGGATAAACGGCATCGACATGATAACGTCACGTTGACGCAAAAAAAATTTTTTTTTTCGATGCCGCCGCCGCTCCTCCTTGCAGGTGTTTGAGTTGCGGATAAACGGCATCGTCGACGCAAAATTGTGTTATTAGAAGCTGATAATTTGGCTTCTGCCGCTCCTCCTCGCAGGTGTTTGACGTGCGGATAAACGGCATCGACGTCATCACGGACCTGGACATCTACAAGGAGGTCGGCCGCGGCGTCGCCCACGACGAGCTGCTAGAGATAACCGTCTCCAAGGGCAAGCTGCTCGTCGCAGACGCCGAGATTACCTTCAACGGCGTCCTCAATGTCGAGTTTGTCAAGGTGAGCTGGAGAGTGTCACGCAGTGTCTTGGTGTTTGGGAGGGTGAGCTAGAGGGAGCCACGCAGT